ATTAGGTAAATCAGTTGTTAGATTTCATTTATCATAAATTGTTTTTTCCATTGACCATCGACCAGATTGTATACCTTGAACTTGTTGAATAACAGCACCTTCAAATGTAAATATTGGTTCTTCGATTTTATTATCCATTGGAAATATCCATAGATCAAGACTATATATTTCTTCTTGGTCTATAACACATATATTATCATGATACTTTCCACGTACTTCAACATTTGTTGATTGATTCATCTTTGTTTTTGTTTTACTTGAATAAATAGATTTTGGAATACGTACTGGAAGAAATGTTGTTTCAACACCTGGTAATAGAACTAGATATGGATGCAGTAAATAATAAGATGAACAATTATTAGTATCATTTGATAATTGAGATATAACTGTAGTTGAAGTACCATGTAATGTTTTTATTTTCTGAAAACTAGATCCATATTGATAACTTCATGTTGAAAGATGTTCATAAGCACTTGTTATATGTTGTGCTGTCCATGTATTAGGTATTGTTAATGATTTTTTGTTGTTTAGAATCTATTTCAATTTTACCTTGAGCATGTAAAGTAAATTCATTTAATGAATATTTATTAAGATTATCTTGATTACAAAATATAATATACCATTTACTCATTGGCATAATTATTTGTGCAAATACTTCCATCAATTCATGTTCATTAAGAATAAGTGCTTTATTATAGTTTACGTCTTCAAAAATAAGTGTTAGTTGTTGTTGATCATCTTCTTTTGGGGGAAGTAATTGTTGACAAGCAGCTGTTGCGAGTTCAAGATAAGCAACAACCGGGAAAAGAATTGCATCTTGAATTTTATGATCTTTTAAAAAAGAATGTTGTGGTAAATTGATATTAATAAGACTTTTCCATGTTGCACTTGTTTGTTCATTTAATTGATGATTACTAAGTAATGGATGAGTTTGAATACGATTAGTTAAACGTTGTATAGATGAACCTTTTGACACATACCAACATGAACTCAAATGAAATTTATATAGTGGAAAATTATCAAAATATTCTTCATGATTTTTCAACGGTAAAATTTGACGAGTATGAAAATATTGTTGCCATACATGAGATGATGTTGTAAGTTGTGCTAAACTAGTAAGTAATGTTATTTGTTCGTCTTCTTTTCGTTTTAATGTTGGAAGAATAAGTGGTGATGATTGTTGTTGTTGCTTTGTTAATTCATAACATTCGCGAATAGATGTACCTAAAACTGGATGTGGTGAAATTTCAAGAAAAACATTTGCTGTTTCATCTTTTATAATTGCTGCTATAGCATCATAAAATCTCACAGCTTGTCTCACATTTGACCACCAATATTGACCATCAACTGGTATATTATCATTCATTTGCTCACCAATAACACTTGAATAAAGTTTTGCTTTT